GTATAATCATCCAAAATAAGCAAAACAGAGGACCCCCCCCCCCAGCCTCATGGTGCTCACGTAATACTTGAACGGCCCCTAATCCGGATACATGAAACCATGGAGGCGGCACGACGCGACGTTGAACAAAGTGATCCATAGAGGAGGTAGGTATAAAATGCTGTCTATATATTTGCTTACTAAAGATAGAATTTTGACATCGAAGTGAAGTCGAGCGCGGTTCGCGGTTTCGCGTCTTTGGTTGCTAGAATAATCTCGACCAATGACGAGCGAGAATGCGACCGAGTTCACTCCGATCTTTCCACTTAAAAGGTACAGAATAAGCTATCAGCTCCATAGAAAATGTGTTATACTTATAAGTAAGAGTTTAAGGTCTCTAGTAAGCAAATCCACAGAGAAATAAAAATATAGAAATTGAAAACTGCCGTTAGCAATAAGGAAAACGAGGCATAGAGGGATTGGGATTCAAGGAATTTTCCGTACATCTCAAGAAGTAGAAGTAAACAAACATTGGATACCTATCATTACATTTATTAGATTAAGGCGCGGGCCCACCGCGGCGCATGCTGTGCACGGGCACGCGGCACATTTTAGCTGCGTGTAATAATTTGTTTGACGTGGGTCTACGTTTCCACTAGAGTACACGAATATGTACCACGACTACGTACAGCGTGACACGGTGCAGCTGGGCCTGCTCGGCCGCGGTATCTCTCCGGTCGAGACCATTCGTGCCGAGTGCCGAAGAATGGCCCTCCCACACTTAAACTGACTGAAAACTGCGCTGCGATAAGTGAGCTGTACATAGTCGAGGGTCATATTCGTGTATTCCAGTGGAAATGTAGAACCACGTCGACAGCGTTGAGCTATGGAACCGCCTATTCGAGCAAGCCACGCATGTATCAATGACGTCAATTCATGCGTAGCCTCTCCGTGGGTTGCAGTGGACACAACCACTTACATTTTCTTCCAAAGCGAAGCTTAATACACGTGCGTAGCCTCTCCATGCACCGCAGTGGGCCCGCGCCTTAATGCGTACACTATACCCAGACCACTTACCATTTCTAGGCGGTTAAAGTTCATATATACTTAAGGGTAGGTACAGAGGTACCTTCAAACTACGCCTGCAATATCAAGTAACGGTTGTAATATCAAACAACGGCTGTAATAACAACTTGCCATCACCTTAAAAAATAAAATCCCAGCTTCGCGGCTTTATCCACATACTGTGGCTGTACTAAAACCTTTCTCTTCCATACCATTCCGAATGAAAATCGTGTAATACCGTCCGAATAGTAGTCCTCCCCTCTCCGTAATTTCCCCTGTAAAAATCAATAACATTTAGTATTACATTTCAATCAAACAATGTATTTATAAAAAAGGAAATTTTAATGTTAAAATTCCAAATAATCCTATCCGGGTACACAACTATATACCCCTAAAGCTTTTATACAAAACAGTGGAGTCCCTGTCGTTTTTACAATTCATATAAAAAAATAAATCATTATTCTGAAACTCCGTATATACAGTGACCGAATGTGCTCGTATATATATATCTTGTTGTCCTACAATTATTACTAGAATGATTAAATAGTTGCTAAGCTGAGACAAGTAACTCTGCTAATGTCAAGTACAAAAACTAATGTGTGACTATCAGAAATATTTACACAATTATACATTGACTTTACAATACAATTTTACACAACAGCTTGCATAATGCCCTTAATACAAGCTTAATATATTCTCTCAGTTCCAATACGTCTATTTAAAACAACAACGAAATTTTAGTCTAAAGTTAATATATTCATTAGATATAATAGAACTATAAAAGAAAGAATATTAGGACCACTCCACTGAGCACTTGATGAGCAAATGCAAAAGGTACAATTTCAAATTGAGCTATAACAATGGAACTCAAGGACAAAGTTAAACTGAAAAAATAAAATTATATTACAAAATGATTTTATATAACAACGATTAATGATGAGCATATAAATTATGCCGCAAGACATATGTAGTACCTATCTATTAAAAATTCAGTTAAAAACTGTGAACACAAATGAATCAGACCACAATTATTTGCTAAATGATACTAAACTAGTCCACGGTAAATAAAAGTTTTCCATGGTCGGAAACTTTTTAAATATAAATAGCTATGCCAGTAAGCTAAGATTGTTTTATTGCTTTTATGTAACTATGTGTATAACTATGGCTATGGAACAACAACATATTTATTGCATTGCAATAAAGAACAACACAAACATTTCCTCACAGATATAGATAGATTTTTACAATCTTTCATTCATTTTGAAACAATAAAGGTGGAAACAAATTTATGCCACGTCATACCACGCAACGAAACCATTTGATGCTTAATAAAATGTGTCATAATTCCACTAATCATGGTATGTGCATGACACCGAAGTGACCAATGAGCGCGCAGTGCGTTGCGCAACGTATCGTGGCGTTGGAAATATGTTTCCGCCCATCCCACCCCCCTTTTACCCTCTATGAGCTCAGTACTTTTGTCTATAATTAAAATCAAACATAGCCAACAGGTAATGTTTGTAATTTTAGTAAACAATATCATAAATGTACGTATCTCTGTAGACAAGCCTCTTTTTCAATAATTAAAGATAACAGAAACATGTGTGGCAAATGACAATAAAAATTATTTATATGGGGACAAAATAGCCCATTTGTTTTCAGAAAATATACTTTTCGATAGATATATTTGGAATGGGTTAAAAAACGACATTTTTAAATATTATCAAAATACATATATTGTAAATTATGATACACACAATTTATACAATTTGACATTTATACACAAATAATGTGACAATAATGCTACGTATAAAAATCATATAGCGGACTCATTCATTTTGAACCTAAAAGTAAAAATGCAATTTAGTGCCCTCTGTCTTTTACCATTAAGTTTCAAATGAACTAAAATTTAACAGATGAAAGTCCTGGTACACTATTTTTCATTATATTTAATTAAAAACTAAATTCAAAGATCGCGAACTGTCTCCAAAGAAACGAAATTACAAAGGCGAAATTTAAAACACGAATTATTATAAACATGGCAATATTTTTGCAAGGTTACCTACTTGCCAACATCGAAAATTATATTTAATTTATTAAAATAAAAAATTACATGGACAGCAATTTTTTACAGTAACTTTGGGTACAACTCGCGATCTTTACACATAATTATATTTCGTTGACTGTGTATTTATCTATAACAAAACTAAATATATTGTGCCTTGTATAGATAAGTGGCGCTCCTTTCAGTCAAACAAATATTACAGGAGGATTTATACAACTAATATCTATTATATCAAAATATATTTACTAAAATAAAACTTTATTCGAAACTGATTTATATAATTATTTATTTTATTTAAATTCATTGGTACTCACTGGAATAATAATATATTTGAACGAATATTTTAATTTAGTACGAAATTAAGCCACACCGTTAACGGTGTGGTATTTATTCATATTGCATGTGTTGATTATGGCTACTGTAATTGGGCACTGCTCCACCTTGGAAGTCGGTGGGCCCATAATAAAATGGTATAAGTGTATAATACGGCGGCACTGGCGTGTAATATGTGGTCTGTTGTCCATAGTATTCCACTGGTTCCGTATTATATGGGATCTGTTGTTCAAAATGCCCAGTTTGGTCTAGTGGTTCAGGTGATTCTTGATAATATTCTTGATCTGGGCCCAAATATGGGATTTGTTGTTCATAGTAAGGTTCCCAATTTTGGGTCTGCTGTTCAAAATGTGGTTGACCTAATCCCAAATATTCGGGTTGTTGATCTAAGTAGGCCGGTCCAGGATCCAAATATTGGGGCTGTTGTCCTACGTATGTTGTCCCTATTTCCAAAAATGGGTATTGTTCTTCAGCTGTTTCTATTTCTTCTCCAAAGTATGGGGCCTGCTCTTCAAAATCTATGGTTTCTTGTTCAAAACCTTGTAGGTCAACTTTAAAAAATCGATTAGTACTATCACTTAGTTTAACACATCTGGGTTTTCTTAATTATTGTTCAGGTTAACTATATTGTCTTTGTATTATTGTCGTTCAATAAGTAAGTAAATATTTGCGAATTTTGCCTTTACCTTGTCAGTTGAACTTTGAAAGTTTTAAAGTCAAAAAATCTTCACAGTTTGTTTACGATATTTACTAAAACACTGTCACGTAGTTATTAGTTAATGTTTAACAAATTCAACAACTTTTAGTCACTTATTATACACTGTTTGTATTTTTTTTAATTATTTAATAATATGACATTTAATTTGCGTTCACTGAGGTGCAGCGCCACCTAGCGGATGAAGATTTTTTTTTTTTTAAATATTATCAAAATACATATATTGTAAATTATGATACACACAATTTATACAATTTGACATTTATACACAAATAATGTGACAATAATGCTACGTATAAAAATCATATAGCGGACTCATTCATTTTGAACCTAAAAGTAAAAATGCAATTTAGTGCCCTCTGTCTTTTACCATTAAGTTTCAAATGAACTAAAATTTAACAGATGAAAGTCCTGGTACACTATTTTTCATTATATTTAATTAAAAACTAAATTCAAAGATCGCGAACTGTCTCCAAAGAAACGAAATTACAAAGGCGAAATTTAAAACACGAATTATTATAAACATGGCAATATTTTTGCAAGGTTACCTACTTGCCAACATCGAAAATTATATTTAATTTATTAAAATAAAAAATTACATGGACAGCAATTTTTTACAGTAACTTTGGGTACAACTCGCGATCTTTACACATAATTATATTTCGTTGACTGTGTATTTATCTATAACAAAACTAAATATATTGTGCCTTGTATAGATAAGTGGCGCTCCTTTCAGTCAAACAAATATTACAGGAGGATTTATACAACTAATATCTAAGCCGATTTTATTACTAACAATAGTCTAAAAATTTTGAACTTTATACTTTAGGATTTCAGGTGTTCTTTTAAGTAAACTCAATACAGTGTGTAACAAAATAAACGCTAAGCCTTGGTTGCAGCCATAACAACAATTGAATTTTTGGAAATACAAAAAAAAATAACAACGCATTTTAAATTGAAATTGACAAAACTTGTGAGTCAACTTCAATGTATTTTTGTAATTAATTATTTTCTGAATTTCTTAAATCGTTAAAAGTTTCCAAGTCTTGAAGTTGTGCAACCATAAATCGTTAGCGCAATTTAAGCGCAACGTTGCACGTTTGCGCATACCAAAATTATCAGTGGTACACCAAAGTTGAAGAACATAATCAAAAAGAGATCATAAGTTATACGAATTGATATCGTAAGTAATGAAATCGGCGATACTTTACATAAAATTTACGGAAAATATAGTATTTATAATTATATAACTACTTAAACAAGCTGCGAAAGTGTGCAGTTCACACAGTATAGTTAAAACTTCATAATAGTATTATCATTTTGTGAAAATATCACGAATTTTTCAAAAAGCGTTGTTTCATTAATGTTATTTATAATTATGTTACTATATATAACTTCACTTCACAGTTTTATCACTTATTATAGGCGTAATTATAGTTTTGAAAGTCAATTTTCGATTAAAAAACATCATAGGAGAAGTTCGTTGTCGTCGCCCACCTTTAAAATAAAATTAAGGTTTTTAATATAGGGTAATATTAAAACCATTATTTTAATAAAACATGTATTCTAATGATTCTTGATTGACATGTTTTATCAAAATGATTCACCTATACTCGGAATTTTAATTCGATTCCAGATTTGACAATTTCAGTGTTGCAACGTTATGACAATTACTAAATAGTGACGTTGCGAAATTATTCGATATGGAAATGCAATATTTCTGGATCGATTATTTTCGTTTATAATTGTAATCTCGTAAACTAAGTATTTTAGGAAATTAAATATTTCTGAACCGATAATTTAGTTTTGACGATTAATTAACGATCTGAGACTTTTCTTTTATAATTGTGTGTGAAATAAATAAAAAAATGCAGTCATGAAGGAACATGACAAATAAAACAGATATGTGTATTATGGTAATAAGTTATTTTATAAATTGTCGCCGTCATCGCTATCGCTATCTTGTCACTTTCTGTAACATTTATTATAAAACACACACACTGATTGTTTATCGATTTTTGTGTTCATCACTACACTATTATATGTGGTATAATTATTTCACAAAATGACAGTAGCTATTGTCAAATCTGGAATCTAATTAAAATTCTGACTATAGTTATTGGACATTGGTAGGAATGGTGGTGAAGGTGGGGATGAGTGAATCTACATTTCTATGGAATGTGCAACTATAGTCAGAATTTTAATTAGATTCCAGATATTAATTAGACAATATTTATAAAATAGTTTATTACCATATTACATATATCTGTGTTATTTGTCATGTTCCTTCATGATTACATTTTTTTATTTATTTCACACAGAATTATAAAAAAAAGTTTAGATCGTTAATTAATCGTCAAAACTAAATTATCGGTTCAGATATATTTAATTTCCTGATAACGTTGCAACACTGAAATTGTCAAATCTGGAATCGAATTAAAATTCCGAGTATAGCTACACTGATGGACAGACTGACAGACTATTCAATTTTCTAGACATTTCAAAAGTATGCGGTAGACTACATAATGATGAATTATGTGCTCTACCACATAATACATAATTTCGACAAGACTCGAAAATCATTTGACTTTAAGAATGATTGTTTGAGCTGCTAAACAACATATTGTTCAGCCGTTTGCTAGGTGAAGGTAAAGTGGGGGCTACCGTCTTTTTTTCTCACCAGATGGAGCTAGTGTAAACCTCTTTTCGCCGAATAGGGGCTTAGCTAGTATCACACCATTGGTCATTCAATTTTTGACAGCTACAGTGATTGGACAAATTGAACTCTTACTGAATTAGCACCATTTTATGTTTAAAAAAAAGACGGTAATCCCGATTCGTGACGAATAATTGAATACTGTCAAATCCTGAACCGATTTTGTGTTTATAGTTCATTTGTTTTAGTTCACACGGTATAAAAAAATCTAATTTAAAAATAGAATTTTATTGTTCTGACTATTTGCGCTTTTATTCGTGTCTTGGTCTATGTAACGTTTATCCGTCTACATGGTTTAATATATCTGTTTTTCATCAAAATCGGTTCAGTTATTTTAGCGTGAAAACGGAACATACATAGGTATACACATACATACATATATACATTTATGTTAGTAAGGATTATTACATGTTATTTGCTTGCTTTCGAGGTCTTAGGATCGATTATTGCTGTGAGAGCTTAGTATGAGCGAACGTCGGCTCATCAAATATAAAAAGAGATCGAAACGAAACAGAGTTCAGCGGTCTGATTGGATGGTTCATTGGAGCCGGCCAATCAAAGCGTCGAACGCGGTTTCGATCTTAAATGAAACTCATACCTTTCGTAAGGCCTCTTTTTGGATGATTGTGATAGTGGTGTTTAACATAATTTTATGTAAATTAGTTTACAATTACGCTATTAAAATGAAATCAATGAACATAACAAAAAACATAATTACCTGAAGAAACATGTCGAAGTCTGTGCGGTGACAGTTTCCCTCGGAAGTAAACGTGAACTTGTGGTAGGAACCGTCTTCACAGATCACTGGAAAATTAAAAAATATATAATTGTAATAAATCATTTATTATTTTATATATTATATGGCAATAGGCTCACCCCCTTTTACATAGGACTCATAACATAACATAAAAAGTGGGTGTTACATTGTACAGCGGCATTAAGTGCCGTAATGTGCACGTCTGCCTACCCTTTCAGGGAAAGCGTGATGTTATATTATGTAGTTTCTTATTGTAAAGAAAATCATTTTTTATTCTTAATTCAATATAATATATACAATACAATTACAAAATTGTAGTTCTAACACGATCTAAACAGTTAAGCGAAATTCATCCGTATACTTTTACTGATAAGGTCGTAATTAATTTAACTTTATAATGACTAAACTATGCATTACAAAATAGATAAATAGGTATTAGAAACGACTCGTGTCATAAAGATAATTGTGAAAGGATTGAGTCATGCGATTATGTTTATATCACTTTTACTTGTCATACGATGTTGTACCTATAATAACCGTATCATATGTTATGCTCATCAGGTGATACATAATAGGGTAGATGCCTAATTATTATTTTAATGTCCGTCTGGTAGATTATTTTAAATCATTAGACACGTATTTTTTATTTTCTTACAGAAACGAATACTTTCGACGATATATTGATTTGAAATGTCGCGTGACGTCACTTCTATGTACATTTTATACGTAGAAATGACGTTTTAGCCATCACTCCTAAACTTTGATTCGTTTTATATAAGTATTGTTTTATTATACGACAAAATAAAAAAATACTTGTCTAATATTTTTTAATTAGCTAACTGACGGAATAATTAGATTTTTAATTTTCATACCCTGTCATCATCCCAATTATATGCACAAACTTAATGGCAATGACATTTCCTACACAATCATGGGCCAAAACATATTTTGACATCCTGTAGTTAATGATACTAAATTCATGTTCACACCAAAGAAAACTACCCCTTAAAATAAATACAGTAAGGTATATTTTAGAATACACTTACAGATGGTGGTGTTATCATGAGACCAAATTCATGTGCAAGCCAAAGAAAACTACCCCTTCAAATAATTACAGTAAGGTATATTTTAGATACTTATTGACGACGGTATTATCACGATACCTAATTCATACTCAAGCTAAAAAAAACTACCCCTTAAAATAATTACAGTAAGGTATATTTTAGAATAAACTTACAGATGGTGGTGTTATCATGATACCAGTTCATAGTCAAGCCAAAGAAAACTACCCCTTAAAATAATTGCAGTAAAGTATATTTTAGATACTTACTGATGGCGGTGTTATCATTGACGAAGCCGCATTGGGCGCGTGTGTCAGGGAACGCCTTCGCTGCGGCGAGGTGGGTCCAGGCACCGCGCGCGCTCCATACATGCATAGTGCCTTTATCCGACACACAACAGATTAATGTGCCGGTAGCGTTGAAGTTTATACTGTGAACATTTGTTACAACTTTATTAACATATTGACAAAATAAAAGACGTGTTGTAGATTAGAATAGATTTGTCACTATCCTTGCCCTTCCTGCGGGTCTTATAAAAACCTACTGAAGGAATATATATTTTTTTTCTTTATAAAACGTTACCCCACACTAGGATTTTCTCCTGTGTGTGGGTGCGTTTACAAACATACAATTTCACATACACATCACACCCAGACCCGAAACAACAATTTGTGGATCACACAAAGTGTTGTTCCGTGCGGGAATCGAACCCGCGACACGTTGCAAGGCAGCCGGTTGCCCAGCCACCGCACCAACCGTGCAGTCAATATATATAGAGAGCGAGCAGTAGCGTTCTCTGATAGATTCAAGTATGGGAGAGTTATGCTTGCAAGAATGAGCCGGCTCGACCGGAGTGATACCACGGTCTCACAGAAAACCGACGTGAAACAACACTTGCGTTTAGTTTTGTCGTGTGAGTGAGGTTACTGGAGGCCCAATTACCCCCCTCCCTAATCTCCCTAATCCCCGAAACCCCAACAATCCTCAAGTTCCTAATCTCTAAAAGGCCGGTAAAGCATTTATAACGCCTCTGGTGTTTCATGTGTCTATGGGCGACGCTGATTGCTTACTATCAGGTAATCCGTCTTGTTTACCGGCTTGTTTTTTAATATTTTTTTGCAACCAGCTGCTTTCTTTGTGTGTAGGTTATAGATAAGCTTCTCATACAGGAGAGGTCGATGATCCAACTATCGAACTACAGTTTACTACATGTCACAGTCTACTAAAGTAGTCTAGAAGTGAGACTATTTTTGCACAAAACTGGTTTGGTTAGGTACTCTTTTAATTCATCTCCATACGACACTAACTGAATCTATAAGGTAAACTTACCAAAAAACATCGGCATAGTCGGAGCCTCGTCGCAGTTCGTGCAGCGGGGTCTTAGTTCCAGTGTCGAACACGCGGATGATGGTGCCCCGTTCAGACGCAGTGGCTAGTCGAGTCCCGTTAGGGGATAAACTTAGACACACTAATTCATTTTGGTGACAATTCATCACAGCGGGTGACGAAGAATGGGCACCCCTTACCACTCGCGATACGTCCTAAAATAGGGTAAATTTTTCTTTATATTGCAGCACTATTTTTGCTGATTATACATACATACATAACTTCACGCCTGTCTCCCATGGGGGTAGGCAGAGACTAAGGAACGCCAATTACTAGGATTCTTACCTATACCTCTTTCGCTTCAATAACAGTCATCAATCTTTTGATTATACTGATTATACTGACATGAAAATATAACATTTAGTTTAGTCTCCAAATGAATACGGTCAATCAGTTATGTTATGAGTGTCATGTAAAAGGGGCGAGTCTATTGTCGTGTCTATTTTAGACTCTGTGCACTGGGAATAGTTGCCGTAATTGTATGCCCACATCGATCAATTTAATGGGACCTAAAGAATTATGCAAGGTTTCTACGACGACACTAGCATTCATTCACAGTTCGTCATAGTAGGGGAGCCCACGATGCTAAATTGGGATTTACTTGAACGTCCTTGGGACCTACTAGATTTTGAAGATATGCTGATAGAAAGAAGAAATAGAAATGGTTTAGTGACAATTTCTTCCACCAGTGGGGGAAGGGAGGATCTACAGATCTTTGTTCTAATGGTCGAGCGTGTCAGATATTGATAATGTACATGCTCCATGTGTATTTAATAATAAAAAACTCTTAATCTGCCGGTTTGCATGGTGGGGTTGAATGTTCTGGAGAGTACAAACGAGAACCCTTCAAAATCCCCCCACTCTTGCAAATCAAGTTGGAATGGGCAGATTTTTTAAACGCACTTCCTTTAGCACGGTATTGACCTACCTTCCCTTAATCTGACGAAACTGACTTTATTTAGTCAGACTTTTTTTTAATTTTTCAGTCCCCCCCTTCTGATCAGATCGGATATATGGTGGGTATATTCAACATGACACTAGGTTTTCCCCATATGTTAATCTGACGCGCTCGAGTAACTACCGAAATCCCTTCATGGGCTCCCCTACTATCACGTTTATAGACAGACAGTCAGACAAACGCAAAAGGGGAAGACTTCTATTTATAATGGAAGTAAATTCTGATAAAGAAGATGTAAGGATTTTTTACTCACGATTATCTGCACACATCCTTTGCGGTGTGCCGGTGCAGCTAAAAGATGTGGGGCCGTGGCATCGGTGGCTATCGTGCATAGCGGTCGGCAGCCTGTCGGGATCCGCATCAAAGCCACTCGATTAAGGTTTGGTATCGCCAGCACCTGGATCGTGGAGTTTAGTACTACTGCCACTCTGAGGAAGTACAAAAGCAGTTTTAATATCTATCTTTCATTACGAAACAAACGGAACATACCTAATGGTTTAAATTTTTCTTGGAAGTTCACTTAGTCGAAGGAAATGTCTTAGGTTTTTTTGCAAGAACGTAAGTAGATTCGTAGGAGTAATAAAGAGGCCAATGATCCGCCACATAAGTGATGCTTCAATATGTTTTTCCCCCGATATTTGTAAATAGCGCTTATATCTAGCAACTATTATTAAAACCGCGGTTATTACTAATGCAAGCCTGAGTGTGGCCTAATTCGCAGTCCGGTCTATCAAAGTCCAGCCAGATCCCTTTGGTTTTTAAAGTGAAAATTACAATTCCGTATTCTAAGAGGTCTTCATCTAAATAAATGTAATTGCTTCCACTAATAGAAAATTACGTCATATAAATAAGAATACCGCGCAATACTGCCATTAGCCACGCGTTTCTGTAGTGAACTTTATAATTACAAAGTTATTTATGAATCAAAGTAATTAAAGACTATATGAGCAGTGCTATCGTTGGCATTTGGCATGAATATAATGTACCCATACATGCATACACAACCTCACTTCTGTCTCATGGGGGTGTGAATGTAATTGTACCAATATTGAGTTGAAAGTAGTTTCAGTAGCAAAATCTCTTCAAGAAGAAAAGGTAACAAAGTTAATAATGTGTGTTAGGTAAGTACTACCCCGTAAACCAGAGATGTTATAGAACGCTAGATTCCATTATCTTGTGTGATGCTCAGAAATCAGGTAAAATGCTTCTCGTTGTTTGACAAAAGCGAGCAAACATTCATCAAAATTAGATTCTGACCTTTGATCTTGGAGACATGCATAGAGCGATAAAGCGATTTGGCAATCAAGGGACTAAATGGCAACAGGGCATTCACTCCATAGTGCATCTGTGCAGCCAATACGTTTTAGAACAACCTATTGCAAAACGATCCTAAACGACCGCGTAACAAGCGATTCACTCATGAATCATATTTTATTAAACGTATGGAAAATCTATTTGTTTATCTAATGAAAATGTTAAAGAAGAGGTGAATGAACGAGATCAATTCGCTAAGGACGATTTCAAGCAAAAACTGTTTTGTTTATTTGATTCATATCAATGTCCATAAAACTCATCAATCAAACCAAACGTTACCTTAATGATATATTTATTGCAATGATATAAGATACAATAGCGTCATTCTTTTATAATTTATTAGGTTATTCGGTGAAGGTTGCCCTTATCTTATCGTTTTAAAGTCGACATATTACTACGTTTGTTAATGTCTGGCCACTAGCGCTGGTCACGTTTACCGTTTTTATATTTCCCATTTTATGCGCCGTTCGTACTCGTTGCGAACGGAAATAATATTATGTTGTATGAAAAACGTATTTAATTTAACTTTCGTATCTTGTTTAGCGTAAAGGACTGATTTTACTATCTATTCGAAGGATGAAAGATTTCGTGGATAACAAGAGTCTTTAAAGTTCCTCAAAAAAAAGCAAAAAATGTTATTTTGAAATAGTCCTTGAGCATTTTCCATTTATTGTTACAACTATACACAAAGTTCTTATGGTTCTCGATTTATTTGCTTTGTTAGGCTTGCTGACTAAAATAGAAAGATTCTATCTTCGATCAACAATAGCAACTAGATAACGGGTTACGTACAAAATCAAGCTCCAGTTCTGTCCGTGTGAATAATAATAGTAAAACGATAACAACAGAGAAAAATGTTTTAAAATAGTTTTAAGTTCAACCTAATAACAACCATCGCACCTAATAATATAGTCATAAATCGTCAAAATATTATATAATACTTACGACCATTTGTCACATAAGACGAGAAAAGTATTTTCTTACTCCTGTCATGTAGAAATTAAAAGACATAAGTTATACAATATCTAGTTTGAATTCAACCTTAATATTGAACAAATAAAGATAATTTTTCTATTATTGTCTTGCGATCTATATCGTTTTGTTTTGTTTCGTTTTGCTTCTTCAAATTTCGAATTTTGCTACAGGAGGTACGTATGGAGTCGCGTTGGACACTAAAACAATTTTATAATATGAAAATTAAGATTTCGGGATCTTAGTATAGGTACTTACATCACTTATTTCTATTAGCGGTACGTTTTTGTGTATGATATGTTTATTTACTTTATCATTAAAAGTCTAAGTCAAAATCATTTATTTCAGTTAGACCAGGAAGGCACTTTTGAACTTCAACAATATAAATTTAAAAGTGAAGCTAATTGCTCATTCCAAGGTGTAGATTCCTATGGAGAAGAACGAGCAATAAACTCCATAGGTTAGATACTAATTTCCAATCAGGTTACAATACAATTTTATTTTCCAATACATATGGACTCCATGCATCCACTGTTCTGTTTAAACAAATGTTTGTGCGCGTGTTGGCGAAGTTTGGCCAAGGGATCGCCAACACACGCACAAACATTGGTGGCGTTGGTTTATAATTGGTAATTTTGACTAATTTGATATTATTTTCTAGTTTAAAAGCTTAAAATATATCTTATATTTTATGTACTTATCAAAAGTAAGACACTCCGGCCGTTATACTGCTTTTTCGGTTATTATTTTTGCAACTTGCAATAATGCACTGCGGCATCGTGAGACGTGAGTACGTTGGCCGTGTTTGGAGCATACTAAACAAAATAAGAGCTCACTTCTCAAGTGAGCTCTTATTTGTCGAGACGGTTTTCTTGCGCCGACCCGATATCTAGTTGTTATTGTTGATCGAAGGATTCTATCTATAAAAAAATCACTAAAGTGCTAGTTTAGTCAGTTACATACTATTGTTAAAAGGGGACGAAATATGTGCAAAATACAGCTATGCCAATTTTTTTCTTAAATAAAAATGGCGGTTATTCAAAGCAGTCTCCGTGCCAAAATGGTTTCGGTTAACTGCAGCCTGTCAGATCATTTTAACAAAGGAATTTCGACAACAAGGTTCGGGAGAGTTGCCTGTTTTTGCTCGAACCGTGTTTTTTTTTAAGGGTACGTTGCCTTACATCTGGCTTTCTTTTTCATTAGATTTTCAACCTCATTTTTTGCAACAAAGTTTAAAATCTATTCGCCTTACAGTTTGGTCGAGCTTGCTGGACTGTGAAACATTTGTACGTGTTTTTTTTTCTTTTTGTTTAAACAAATATAAGGTAACAATAAATGGCGGTCCTATCGTACCATGGCCGTCCGACTAGAAACAGACCCGAACGTACGGCGCGTCGCGTTCCGCGCGCGCCTCAAAGAGCCATCAGACCACCACAGATGTGTTTTAATGTGCGAAAATCATCGAGTGACTGCTCCCACCTGGGTGAGGCGGGAGGGAGTGTCACTCTTACTGACTAAAAACCACTCCGTTCCTTCTCCTGCACGTCGAGCCAGAGCCCCGGTTGCCCGTTAGGTTCTCCGCGACTCCGAATCGGCATCGGCCCTATTGGGCCCCATCTGTGGTGGTCTGATGGCTCTTTGAAGCGCGCGCGGAACGTGACGCGCCGTACGCTCGGGTCTGTTACTGGTCGGACGGGGAGCCACCCATGCTCGCCGTCCGCAGTCCCGCGCTTACGGTGGAGATCGTCCCGCGATCCCCGACGCCCGGTGTGTCCTTCGCGATGGCTGGGTTGCGAGAAGGCAGCGCTTCGCTGCCTCACGCGTCCCGCCTCCTCCTTAGCTAGCATGAGTGCTTCGCAAAAGGAGGGGTGAGAAGAGGCTTTGCTCAGCAGTGGGCATTTATAGGCTGTTGATGACGATAATTTTACCAAGTACCAGACCCCTAAACATTTAACATAATCAAAAACTTACTTGTCTTTCCTTGCTTTGATGGCTCTGATTGGTGCTTTGAAGCTAACTTCCGCCATCAAGCAGTGTTCTCGGGCATTGAACGCCATCAGTTTGCAGGGGCGGCGAGCATTCACGTAAAGTAGCCAGTTGGTGCGCTCTATCATCTCGCACAGTAACACCTCGCCGACCTCCTCCAGGCCTGGAATTAAAGACAAATTACATTTAGACAAAGAACTAGTATTATAGGCCATCAAATATCGCACAGTTACTCATAGGCAGGTTCTGTAACTCTTGTAGAGCAGTGATCAATAAAGATACCGAAACGATGCAGCCTGATGGATCAAAGAGACATAAACAAATTGTTTTGAGTAATCCAATTCGCTAGATGCAAGTCGCTTCCTACCTACTTCCAGATAGGAAGTCATGGGGGAGGCCTATGTTCAGCAGTGGATGTCCTATGGCTGATATGATGATGATGAATTCAATGAAATTAATCAGAAGTTATCGCATCATCTTTTTCTAATTGCGTCAGTATGAAGTCTGAGAATAAAGAGGCGCACATTAACTAACAGAGGGCTTGCTAATATAGGATTCCCTCGAAGTTATTCAGTACCTCGAGAGCTTTTATTCAAAACACTATTTATATTCACCACCATCCTATATGGCTCGTAATTTATCTAATCTATTTTTGTGCATATCTATGTTTTCTCTCTTTTAAGATCATAATTAATATGAGGTTACAAGAATGCAAAACTTAACAAACTATTACCCGAAACTTCATCACCATGTGTAAAAGTGACAAATCGACTATCTCTCTTTTTTAAAGAAATTCGTGCTAACCAATGCTATAGCTTAAGAAACCAATAAATGTAAGTATAATAATATAACAGGTAAACAAATGTAAGTATAATATTCGCTAAAATAAATGTTTAAACTTTATCATCATGCGTATGCGTAATACTAGTACACATTTGTGACGTCATTCCGTCATGTACTTTAATAGTAACAGCTGTACGTACTTACATACAACAGATAAACAGTTTATTTACAAACAATAGTTCGTGACCGGTGGTAGAAACGAATTTGGGGATACTTTCAATGTAGGGCAAATATCTTTCATGGTCATGGCCATCACAATGTCATTTCAAAGGGAATTGTTGGGGTATCCCCGAGTAGTTAATAATAGAACTCCCACAATTCACAGTTTGTTATTATTCTTATTATTACATAGGGGGCGACCGACCGGCGGGGCTTTTGATAAAAGGGACTGGGCCCGGTGTTTAGCAAATAAGTTTTGCCATTTCTCCAATGCATTAGACACCATCTCTACTACCGAAAATCCGTTTTATTCTAAAACTACTTCCGCGCGGTTTCACACGCTCTACTCAGCTCCTATTGGTCGTATCGTGATGTTTTATAGCCTATAGCCATCCTCGATAAATGCGCTATCCAACACAAAAATAATTATTCAAATCAGACTTGTAGTTACGGAGATTAGCGCGTTCAAACAAACAAACAAACTCTTCTGCTTTACATAATAGTATAAGATGTTTGAAAGCAGACACAGGATTTTGAAATTACAAAGTCGAATTTTGTATAGTCTCTTGGAATTATTTCTTTGCCTAATGTATGACAATGTATGTTATTTAACATCTAGGTAATGAGGGATGCGATATCATTTCGGAGATGCAAACGCTGGGGCAAACTAAGTTTCATATTATCAAAAGTTCTAGATGAGAGTTGTTACTCAAAAACTACCCAACTGATCTGAATGAAATTTATATAACTTTTTATCCAATTAACGCCGGCGCTGACAGTTAGTAATACATAAACCATATTACATTTGTTAGACACAGAACAATAAGTGCGCTTTGCTGTGCTAACAAAGGCATCATATCACAAGAAACCATCTTGACCTTAAAATTTCGACTACAAACCGCGCATACTTAATGAACTTCACAAGTTCTAGATCACTGTTAGTTTTAGAACATAAAATGAGGTCTCATTAACAATTAAGTGCTATCACGTGACTGGCTGGTGTTTTGTTGATGAAAATTTGAGTGGTGATTCATGAAATCATAAGTAAGTGACATGAATTATATGTGCTTGGCAGATAGTCATGCGGAAATTAGCTTGGAGACAAACATTTCCACTCAAGAGGTTGTTTTACTTAGTATTTTGCAGACAAGGTATAATTTTGGATGCACATTATCGTGCCTAGACTGTGTTACTTTGCGATATATTCGGCGAATGGTTATGGAAGTAACACCTTTATTAGCAGAGGATGCTAATGAGATCATTCCAAATTGAACTTGTCAGAACAGCAAATTATGGTAATTATAGCCAGTTGTAACAGTTTTGGTAACCGCTGAATTGAAAAGCGTACAATTGAGTACTTTGTATAGTCAGAATTTTAATTCGATTCCAGATTTGACAATAGCTACTGTCATTTTGTGAAATAATGATACCACATATAATAGTGTAGTGATTAACACAAAAATCGATAAACAATCAGTGTGTGTGTTTTATAATAAATGTTACAGAAAGTGACAGGATAGCGATCTCGATGACGGCGACAATTTATAAAATAACTTATTACCATAATACATCTATCTATTTTATTTGTCATGTTCCTTCATGATTCCTTTTTTTTATTTATTTCACACACAATAATAAAAGAAAAGTCTCAGATCGTTAATTAATCGTCGAAACTAAGTTATCGGTTCAGAAATATTTAATTTCCTGATATACTTAGTTTACGAAAGTAAAATTATAAACGAGAAGAATCGATCCAGAAATATTGCATTTCCATATCGAATAATTTCGCAACGTCACTATTTAGTACTTGTCATAACGTTGCAACACTGAAGTTGTCAAATCTGGAATCGAATTAAAATTCCGAGTATAGGTACCTAATTTTGCATTTGAAAAGGCTAATAGTATAGTACTGGCATGTATACAAATGAATGATGCCTTGAAATACTAGCATAGAGCGAACTCTATGCTAGTATTTTAGTCGAGCAGCCAGTGTTTAGTACTTTCCTCTCGCTTCAGTCCCAAAATCGAAGCGACAAATTTACTAAATCCTCGCTTAGTTAAGCTAAAATACTAGCATAGTTCGATGAAGGCATAAGTTCCAGTAGTCCATCCAGTGTCATGATATAGAATTAAAATCCCAAATAGACTTTTTATTAGAGCATTTGCGCGTCCAGCTATATTTCTGTCATTTGTTTAGCGTCAGTGTAACCTTTTCGGCTGGAGTTCAATGTCCAAAGGGTTGAGAAAGGCAATGAACCTTGCATTAGAAAATGTCTAGTAAGTGCTGCCTTTGCATTTGAGAAACTTTCGATCAACAAGTTATAAGTTTCTCGTTTATTAACCTCAGAACGGAACTCTATTCAAATGAAACTTAGAAAATATGATAGTCTGGAGAAAAGCTTTGTTAAATCCCGGAAAATTGTGCGGATCATAGTGTAAGTACAAAATAAATATTTCTTCAAGAAATGCTCAAGTTTGGACTTGTAACAAAAACAACCGGTTTTACTTAGTAAATGGTGACTCATTTGTGTTGCCCGAGATTGATTACTTGCATACGAATGGAAGACATAACTATACCTAAGTACGTACGTCACACGTAAGCCGTATACAAATTATTGAAATGTTTTCGCTTATTGTTATTGGTTAAGAGTAGACTGAAATAGAATTGGGTTTAAAGTCTATAGCGTTACGAGTTATAAGCTCTTTAAATTAGTGGTAGTCAGTCGTCTCGGGACGGGAACGAATTGAATACAAATGTAAATGTGAAAAATGTAATATAATACTATTGTATTACACAACAGACAATAATATACTATTGGTCCTTCGATCCGTAGCCAGATAATTAAGAATTAATTATAGAACAAAATATTATCAGGGTAGTTTGGAGTGAAGTCTTTGTTCCACTTGGAGACGTAGAACTAACTGAACATCAATGATTTTGATCGAATGTATTAGCTACGAAAGATATCGGATACCCCTAAACTCGTCGTGGATACCGTGGTGGTTTTCAATCAATATTAGTCTGACAGTCCCCTTGATGGTTCCCTTGGTGAAGGGACGTAATGACGATACATGTTTGAACATGTACTTGAACCAATGAATTTAACTTTGGGTACCAATGTAGTTATCATAAACCATTTCCTATCCTATTGCTTTAACAAACAAATTAACTACATATCAGATTTCAAAATCGTGTAGTGACAATTCAAAGTCAATAGTGGTAATTAAAAACGTATAAATCATCCCACACATTTGTACTACATTCTGAATAGTGTAAGATTTCAATCAAAGATTGCCAGAACGATTTAAATATAGAAGTTCATTCACTCTTGCAACGTATTGCAGAGTTTGAATGGTCGAAAATTGGCGGGCTATAACATCTATTTATCTTTAGATAGCGCATTATTTTTTCTTATAAATTCCAGGGAAAGGGACGCGCGCCAAAGTTTAAATAAAAATAATCAAAACATCTTTTTTTTCATATCATCTAAAAAAAACAGGGATGTTTTGTAAGGATTGTCTGCGAAATGACTTTCGAAAAAAATGGTGTCTACCTGCTACACAAATGCCACCTTTTTTATTACATATATGCGCTGTCCATTATGAAAAACTTATGTCCGCAAGAACCTCCATTTTGAATTCCTGATTATTATTATTATTACCCAACACGTGGTGTTGGCAGAAGATGGCAACGAATGTTATGCTTTGTTGTAAACTTGTTAGTAATAAAGGATACTAGTAAAATGACAACAGGGCAATAACATTATATTTCACGGTTGGCTACGTACGGACATAGGGATTCTGGAGTGTTTTTGGGCATAGCATATCTAATATGGATCTAGCAAGGAAATTCCTTGTTTCTAACGAAAATTTAATAAACATAAACCCATAAAGACACAAAACAGGACGATAAAACTTTGATCGATTTAGAGGAGTCATCGTGTATCAATGCATTTTATTATACATGTGTCGAGTCATTCTACGCCGTGTTAAATGTTGGTAGTATCGAAATCGTTTTATCAATAATACCCCGAAAATATATCTCTATTTGCTACAACTTGTAACTATTCCTAAGCAAAGCAATTATCCGGATTCCTGTCCAAAGTAAATTGGTTATTTACAATTGTAATCGTCATTTAGACACCAACCTACATATTATACTTAAAGGTTCACAAATGTCAATACATGTAAATCATTTGCGTCGGACGATTCTGCGAATTTAAAATGCTAATTTTGTATTGTGTACAAATTCATTCAGTTTGTTCATATTCAACTTAGTAACTATAATAATAGAAGGACTAAATACATAAAAATATCAATTTATCCCCGAAGGGGTTGGCAGAGGTGTACATTACGTACACTGTACAATGTAACACCCACTTTTCACTATTTATGTTATGAGTCCCATGTAATAGGGGGTGAGCCTATTGCCATACTGGGCACAATTCCAGACTCCATGCTACTACTGTGAATTTTTTGAAAACCCCAGTAGGCAATCCCGGCAGTCGCCCTTGCAACCACTCGGCCAATGAAGCAGTCATGTCATGCCATGATTCATATCTGCATAATTGAAATTTGTTAGTATTTCTATGGGTATATGCTTGTGCATATCTATTTAAACAACTCATTAAATAGTAATTAGCATAATTATAGAACAGTTGTTCTAAGAAACCAGTTATGCTAATATTTGCATTTTAATTATTACAGTCATTATGGGTAGTTAAGGCATAAATCATTATGTGTTATATTAATTTGAAATTTCTTTATGTAAATGCAATCAAACAATTTTTTTATCTATTACATTTTAAGACATCTTATTAACTCGTGAAGTACCGTCATTATAGATACAATTAAAGAACCATAGGCTGCGGTCACCGGTAACCGCTCGGTGATTGACAGTTTAAACTGTCAAACTGCGTGGATCCATATTTTAGACACACAAAATGTTAATGAATTTTCAGTGAAAATGAGTAAATAAAAACAATACTAACAGACAAATGTCTGCCTAATGAATTCATTAATTTCTGATAATTGAGAAATAGAGTCTATTGTTTACAATTTAATATGTTGGTAGATATTAACTGAATCATTATATGAACTTTATACTTCCTATTAACTGGTCCATTTTTATCAGTAGAACAATGACAACAATAATAGAACTTGCCTCTGTTATCAAATATACCACAATCTTTGTGGTTGTCCAGCTAATTATAAATAGCAATTAGTTATCATTTAATTTTATAAACCTGATTGCCTCATGGTTCCGTAGTTCTAGAATTCTTAAATTGTTGGATTATGGGCCAGGTATAATAGTATAAATTAAGTTTCAAAGCTGATGGGGAATTTATGCATTGATGGTGAATTTATGCTTGATGTAACTATAACCAACTATTATTTTTTAATACAAGAGGGTAAAAAAAATTGATAATATGTAGGTAGATGTAATTAATATTATTGAAAAACGAATACTTACTAAAATTGGATAGTTCCACAAGAGGCTCGACATTATATATTCGCAAACCGGTCTTCAGGCAGCACGCGAAGCAGTCTACAAAGTAACAAAATAATTAGTAAGTATATAATACAAATGCCTGTGACTAACACAGGAAATAATTAATAGAACAAAGAACTACTTCATCTATTAAGACATTTTGAATAATAATTATGTGTCCGCTATTTATTGTACAGTAATAAAATATAATGATCGATGTGTCCGCCGCAATGAACACATTGTAGGTACTCCACAAATTATTTCTATGCAAATTTATTCAAAGTGGCAGTTTTAATACTTTCAATGCACTTTTCGAGCTTACTGGACAGCAAACAGATTCTTAGAAACCAGACAATATCAAGTTAATCAACATACAAAATAAATAACAGCTGTTTATCAAAACAACTCAAAAGTTGTAATCATAACGACGACGTGGGTACATTATAAAATTAATGGAAATTGCGTTTTAAATTACATTATGCGTACACAAGTACGAGGGCAAACAAAACCAACGCCCAAACAATAGCGAGCGAACTCGCGAAGAATGGGAAACTGCGCGTGGGCGCGCTCCTAAAAATATAAACAACACGTGGAGTGTCAAGCTACGCGCATCGAGAGCGTGGCGAGGGTAGCACAGCGCACTGCCTGCGTCACAACACGCTCCACGCGCATTTTAATGCCATGCAACTGCACCTTCCAAATCACAGCTCATCCTAAACATGGATAACACTAACTCCACCTGAGAACAAAGAACTCAGGTTGACGAACTAGGAAGTTACACAAACCTTGCTCCTGGTTAAAAGCCAGGCTGATGATGCCGCTGCTCCTCCGGTGCGCCAATTGCGCCATGTCTTTTCCGCCGTGAATTTATCATAAACATTTAGTAGATGTTGTAATATAAGTCTTTGTTAACATTTTTTACACCGAAAATTTAAGACGCACATTTATTTATGTTACATGTTCTCTGTGTGTGATGCACAGCTGATTTGATGACGGCTGACAGGAAAACAACGATGTTGACACCAAAAATTGGAAGCTTTGTGTAATGTTGCCATGTTACGAAAAAAAAACCTACCATAGGGAAGTAAAAATTTGTGTTGTTTTATCACTTGAATACATTTACGTGTATGAAGTAATCTTAAATTAAAATTGGATAATTATAACTATGAAACATTAAAATCAGAAAAATTCAAACTAATTAGGGGTTCGAAACAAATTATTTTTGCTAGTAGAAATAAAACTACCAATGTTAAAATTGTTATTATATGGCAGTCTCTTTGTTTATTCACGTAATTCAAAAATATTTTGTCTAGGCAGCATGTTATTACATTTAATTTTATAGAAGTACATAAATCATAATAAAATGAGTATAACAAATAATTCATAGAGACTATTTTACTTTGAAGAAATACTGACCTTCGTCGACATATTGACGAGCACTGTCTGCATTTTCATTAGCTGCCAGTTGAATAAAAAAAACTCAAAACTTCAAAAATGTTTTTATCTTCCCTCATTGAAGAAATTCTCTTACAACTCAAATTTTTGGCATCAAAAGCAATTCTAAATTATGTAGGGTGTCAGCTGGCTAAAGTAGTAATAATAAATCTCAAAAATATTAACGTTATAAATTGAGGTAAGTAAACTTGGCAATGACAGTTAGTTGTTAGTAAAACTTTTAAGAGAAACTAACGTAGATAAATTGCATATTTTCAGGTAAATCTGATACAATGGATTTTAAAACAACAGTATCGAATGATTACCAGTGGCCGTTTCCCAAGCCTGTGATTGGCAAGTATGTGTTTTGTTGTTAAGCGCCTGACATTTATTTTAAAGCAACCATTTAACAGCAGTAGTTAAGTTGCTATTACTTTACTAGTAGGAACACAATTCATCATAACGACTGAGCCACTATAATCCACCAGGTATGTGAATCACACTGTATACTAAGCATTTGTTTTTAATTCACTGAATTTAATTAATTGATTGGTATAACACAAGTTGTGGTTGTCGGTCTCTACCACACTGTGACCTCGGGATCACAATACAATATTTAAACCACATTTAGTGTGCTAACGAATATAGGTAAAATGATACCTATATATTAAGTTTTGTGGTCTATAAATTGTGTTTGATTTAAAACCAACCTTTAAATACTATACTGGCCCCGTTACAGCAGCGCCTTCTGTCAATTACATTCCTATTTCCAATATTTCTTACACCTAGTTATTATACGACATTGCATTCATGGTAATTTTATAATATGATAGCAAATTATCGACAGACGTTATTGTTCCCACCATAGTAAATTATGGATATTCCACGATGCATAGGTAGGTACTTGAAGTAGACTCCGTCTGACTTAATAGAATTCCACCTAAGTATATTACGTACTACGTTACATTAAAGTCGAAAATCAATTATTTGAAAGGGTAGCGTGATGTGCACTGTCTGGTCCTTTCCTTACTTTGATAGACTTTGACAATAGTACCGCACGCGTAGATATAGTATCTGTATAGTTACTTATCATTGCCATCGTGACTAGTAGAAGATATGTATAATACACGATTTCATTTTTATTGGTATGAAATTATTATATTTTTTACTATAAAATGCTTTGATAATAAAAGTACATACGTAAATACGCCACACCCTACACAAATACATCTTAAAGAACGCCACCCCATTTAGTAACAGATTCACCTCTTACTATGTGGGACTTACAACCATAACTGGTTAATTTGACATTCATTTTACGGGTGTTATATTATACAATGTGAAACGAGTATCAATATTAATTTTAAGAATAATTATGATTGTTAATGGGTTACTCGTATTTGACGACGAACTCTACGAACTCTTGAAACGACGAACGTAGTTTCAAGTCACGCAAGGGGCTTATATTCATGAGCAGTATCTTTTGTATCAACATCATATTTTTCCTGGTTTCTAGACCATGCGAGCCGCCCAGTCCAGATGCAGCGCCGATCGTACGGCCCGCTCCAGTAGCTCCTTACTGCCACTGCGATGCACACTCTTATTCACCACGCGTGGAGCAGTACAAACAACTCTTGGAAAAAGAACAAAAGTTATGTCAAGACTATGAGCAACTGCGGAAACAGGTACAGATTTATATCAGAAATACCATTCAGCAACATGATTGGTGGTTATAGTTTAGCGTACCATTGTTCCCGTTTATTACTAATAGCGACTAGCGTAGCGTCTCATTATCGTAGCTAGCCGTCATAGCAAGCCGATGCGTCGTAGTCTGACGTAGCCAGTCATCGTAGCAAAACATAGTGTCGTAGTCTGACGTAGCCAGTTGTCATAGCTTTTCGTAGCATCGCTGCGTCATGGTCTGGCGTAGCAAATCGTAGCGTACTGTCATGACGTAACCAGTCGTTGCGTCGTAGCATATGGTAGCATCATAGTCTGCGGTAACCAGATATCATAACAAATCTTAGCGTCGTAGATTGGTGTAGCCGGTCGTCGTAGCACATTGTAGCAGTCTAACACAGTCAGTCATCATCGTAGTAAACCGTAGCGTCGTAGTATGACGTAACATGTGGTCGTAGCATTTCGTAGCATCTTCGTTCTAATGTAGCCAGCTATTGTAGCATTGTTAACGTCGTAGCTTGGCGTAGTCAGGTTATTAATTTTCGAAGTGTAACGAGACAATAATATTTCAGAATCCTCACTCATCTATAGAATATGTAGTTTTTATATATTTTTTAACCGACTTCATTGTTCTTTAACCTTCTATCTTATGGAAAGGAAGATCTAGTTTATTGTAATTGTGTAGAATCTAATACCTAATTATGTAGTTATACTGTTGACGTTAATAATATAGCAATTATACTAATAGACGTATCGTTATTGTCATGGAGGAAGTTTTAATTGTTTGTCATTACGGACTTACTGTTGCAGTTAGAATATAACATTTGTTTTAGATATTATTATAAAAATGTTTTTGTCATATTAAATTATAAGATATTTTCAACACTGTATTAAGGAAAACTAAATTCAAAGTTTGTTAGAATTTGGTCTAATGCTGGATAAAGTACATTATACATTACTAACTATAAAGTAATAAAAATGCTAAGTAATGTTTTTAGATGGTGGACGTCACCAACGATATACTGGACCATCCGTGCGATGACCTCGACGGTAAAATGATGACGATGTATCAAGCAACATTCATCAAAAGATGTAAGGAAGATATAATTACCTATTTATACTCATTTCATTTAGATTTTTTTTTCATTTTTTTATTAATACCTTGCCCCACACTAAGATTTCCTCCTGTGTCGTGGGTGCGTTTACAAACATACAAATTCACATACACATGACACCCAGACCCGAAACAATGTGGATCACACAAAGTGTTGTTCCGCACAGGAATCGAAACCGCAACACGTTGCACGGCAGCTGGTTGCCCAGTCACCGCACCAACTGTCCATTATTAAGTGATTGCAGAGTCAATTTTATTCTAAGTGGGGTAACACCAAATGACTTCTGGCCTAGGTGAGGCGAGAGGGAAAGACAGACTCTTATTGACTAAAAAAGCACTGCGCTCCATTCCCAATCCTCAATTGGAGATTCAATAACCCTTGCGGATCTCTGCAGTCCCGAATTGCGGAGTTTAGAGCCTGGCCTGATATCCGGGTCGACAAAGTAAAATAAGGAATCTCTTCGAAATTTATATAAAAAAACATTGCAATAGACATAGAACTTGTATGACAATTTTATTTATACTCGTCCTAGTCATAATAATTAGACGTCTCGATCTGATCTCATTTTGTGTAGGTACTCTGCGTTCTATAAAATATCACACGAGATAATCAGACAACTATTGTTCAAGGAAAGTTCCCATTTGATCCAATTTAGTTTGTGCGTCGAACACAACAAATTTATTATGACCGACTCGTATAATGACTGGGTCAGTCGGGTCAAATGAACTAATTAAAATTACTTAGACGATACAACACAATGTTCTTTATTTGTATCTCCTCATGTTCAGTCATTACTTTCATTTGACATAAATAATACATACGTGTCATTTTGTTACTTGTGGTCGAACTGATGAGACATAAAACGTGTTGATAACTTATGTCCAAATACTGAAAGGCTACTCAATTCTAAGTCGCTTAGTTAGTTCAAAGTCGAAGCATTTATTTCAATATACCATAATTCGTTGCATTCGTCGAAAAACGCGTTTTTGACAATAATCCTAATACTTTTTAACATTGTCCTAACAGCATATCCGACGACAGACTATAGAACTATAATAGCAGCCTCTCAGTCGAACGCTCCAATACCAATGGAGACACATAGCCTCGGCATGTTACGCTGTTACAAAGATCCCACAAACTTCACCGACCAACCTCCCACAGTCCGACCGACTATCAATCCTCCAGGTAAACAATACAAGAAATTTACACTTTTAGCTTATTTATTAACGATAACGCTGCAGATATAATTGTCACAGGTCCTATAACACAGTGGGTATCAAAAGTATGTCGTTGCTGGATAAAACCTTCCGCGTTATTCCCAATTCTTCTTGCTCTGTGGCTGATACTCTTACTGATATCAATGGTACACATGACCCTTTAGTAGGTTGTGGAGGGGTCAGGGTATATAGTACCCGCTTACATATGAAATATGAAATGTTGAGCCCAATCTAATTGAGATAAGCCAATATACGAAAATCTTTTTAATAGACGACAAATTAAGACTCCCTTAGAACACGATCATCCTTATACCGCTAAAATTGATTTTATATTTCACCAGGCCCAATCCACACAGGAGTAGCCCCTAAAGCCATACAGACTTGGTTTGCGGAGTACCCTGGTAGGACAGAATATATGGACACATACAGTGCCTCAGCTAAGGCGTGTTGGCGGTCCATGCAAAGATACAAGGAACCTATGCCCTCAACCAGAAGGAGGGCAGACGATACCTGCATATAAATCGTGGACTATTATTGTTGGGTAGTGATTTCGT